CAAATACCAATAATTATTTCCTTTTTAATTCTACAATTTAGGTGCAATTTCTTAATTTAATTGTAAAATATAACCAGTTGATGAGTATTTAAAGACTTAAGGGATATTATTTTTGAATAGATATTAATTAATTTTGTAAAAAAATCATTTTGAAGGGACAACAGTGATTATATAGTTCCGACTCTTTAAAAAGCTGTGTACATTAAGTAATAACTGTTTATTATTTAATGTATGTAAAATTTCACGTTGAGCTAAAGTTAATCTATAATTAAGATTCATATATAATACGGTTAGAGAAGATATAATTGTCTTCTTAAATCTTAATAATTTCAAAAATATACTACTTTTTTAATATGTTCTCAAAGTTTTTTAATATCTTATCAATTAACAGGTGATTGATACATTATCTTGAATAGAGAGTGATGTTAAAATTAATCAATATCAAATTGTTTTAACTTTGTTATATAGTTTAGATTATATTCAAAGATTAACTTTATTTTTTTAATCCTTGTCATATCTTTTTTATTATTATCTTTGTTATTAAATATATCTTTTCCTATTTATAAATTAATTTTACGAAATTATTAATTATATCTATTAATACTTATGTTTATAAATAGTAATAAATTAAATAAATTATCAGAATATCTTATGAAATAATCATGCAGTTTAGTTATGTTAGGTTTCAATTAAGTAATTTAAATTGAGCTTTATTTTCATCTCTTCATTTAGCTTACTGTTCTCTGTTTGTATTATTAATTTAATGTAGTATCATTTAACATTAAATCTCTATAAATGCTAATTAATAACAGTTTTTTTTATAAGGACATCTCAATAAATATACCCTACATTTCCTTAAAATGGAATACTATTGAAAAACTTGTATGAATATTAAGAAATCAAAATAAAGAGTAGAGCAAAAATATGATATAATTAAAAAAATATAATAATTGTTGTAATGTTCTTTATGAATGATGATTATCACTTTTACTTAAGGTCTTCTAAAATGCAACTACCTTTGGATTTCAATAAAGGTCTCAAATCTTTTCCTTAATGGTTTATAAATTCTCCTTATAAGATAAGAGCACCTTATGCTTCCAATATTATAGATGAAGATATAACAAGATATGAATAATTAGAGACTAAGTAATAATAATACAATAAATACCTGGTTGAGGATTGTTCTAAAAAAGTGGTGCTTTAAATTAAGCAAGAATATCTTTATATTTTTTGTCAGTGGATGAAATTTCTTTCCCATTCTTAACATCCCATAGACGGATAGA